ACGACAGAATTGTTACTTGTTTTTCTTTTTTAATATAAGAAGTTCTTCCCTGTAAATTTTATAAAGTCTTTTTTTTTTTTAGATTTTTTCTCAGTCGAAGAAGAGGTATATAGCGTAACATCATCATAATCATCATCACTACCATTCGATCGTAGTCGAAATCATCGACCCAGTGGGTACGATCCTTTCTTTAACTGTAGAGCGTGTGCTACGCCATTTTAGAATTTTAGAGTTACTTTCTCCTAGACCGGTTGCCACCCAAAGTTATAGAACTCATTCTCTCCTGCTATTTTACCCATAGCTGTGGAGAAGAGGATTCATACCTTTCCTAAGGGTATTAGGACGTAATATAGCGTAACAGTTATCGTTTACGAAAGTGTAATCAGCGATTCGAGTTCGAAATTGCTTCGAGTCTATCACGTCCCCTTCGAAATAATGCAGTCATTAAAAGCGTGAATTCGTTTGTTCTCTCCAGAACTATGGGTTAAATAACCGGGTAAACTAAGCTCTTCGATTTAAAACAAGAACAGCTCTGAATTTAAAACCGTGGAGAAGGACATTAATAATTCCTGTTGTAGTTTTAGCTCTCGGATTGATTGGAAAAGTTTCCGATAAACTAACTGAAGCCAAGCCTTAAAGAAATACAAAAAATTGTACTTAGACGTACAGCCGACATCTTTGGAAGGAATTAATGTATGTAAAATATGTGTGATTTTATTTTATTTTATTTTTTACAAAATATGTTCAATGGAAAATCTTATGACGCCATTTCTCTTCTTAGGTCTCTGGTTAAGACAGGGAAGAAAATATGTATACAGCAGAAATCAAAGAAAACCATAATATTCCACTTCACTATGCTTCCTAAGAACTTATGTTAATTTTTAGTTAATAAAGAAAAGAAGAACCACGACTGCTTATGTCCTGAAATTAGAAAGGCAGTTTTGACCGTAGAGAAAACAATGGGCTATAAAGGGTGTTTTTTTTTTATCGTGACACCATCACTAAATGGATTACCAACCAAGGCTCAGAGAGACTCCATTCACCCTCCTCTAAGAGCAGGTTTGAATTCACACTTCTCCTAGACCAGTTGCCATCCAAGGCTATGGAACCCAGTCTGTCCTGCTATTTACCCATAGCTGGCGGGAGAAGAAAGAGGATTCACACCTTTCCCAAGGGTGTTAGCACGTAAGTGAATGTAATGGATTCGATTGGAATTCGAACTCGGCTCTCCGATTCTTCAATCCAAGCCGCTATCCATTACTCCACCGTGCCTCCGTGCCGCTACACTATGTTTACTAAAAAGTCATGGAATTGAAAAATTAATAAAAGAAAAAGGATGAGAGCTATGGTCGCCGACGTCCTAAAGTCAGAAATATAGCTTTCAAGTCAAAATCGTGAAATGAATGTGAAAGCATTCCAGTCTCTTTCCGCAAATAATAAAGAAAAAATATATGTGGAGAAAGCAACGGGAAAACACACCACTATCTTTTGCAAGAAACCGTAGCAATTCACAGATAAAAAATGGTAGAGAAAGCAACGAGGAACTACTCCTCTTTCTCTCCCCAAAAAGATATGGCTGTTCAAAAATAATCACGAAAAAGGAATCTTTGGATTTTCCTAATCATCTACGTCCTGAAGAGAGAAAAACAGTTCTGAATTCAAAGGGAACAGGAAACAACCCTACTTTCCTAAGATGTTATAAAAGTTCACATTTAATGAAGGATTGGAAATTGTGGAGAGCTGTGATTGCCTGTCGCACTAAATTCAATCATCATTTGCTATTCTAATAAGAATATTAATATGTTATTATGTCGTTAGTGTTTCCATTTAAAATTAAAACCAGGACCAATTCATTTCAATGGGGATAACATAAAGTTGGTAGCGTGATAGTTACCAACGCGCAAAGTAGAATAGGCGAGCCGAGTTCTAATTTACCCCTAGTCTTTATTTTCAATCATTTCACCCCAAGGAAGTCCATAAAGGAAATAAGATAGAAGGGGTTGCTGAGTGTTAGAGGATATCAGGAAAAAACCCTCAAAAAACTAAGATTAAGGAATGAGGACAATAAACGAACACAAATTAACAAAACAGAAGATAACAATTGACAGTGCATTTAAATTTTTGAAAGTTGACTGGGAACCAAGAAGCCGAAAGAGAGTTTCACAAGCAAGAAGTGCGATAGAAGAAACTGTTAGCATAGAATTTACGGTTTTTCTTCCCGAAAATTATGTTATAAAAATCATTACTCCATAATTAAAATGGCAATGGGGAAACAAAGCGTTTCCATAGAGGAAACGTCCAATGATCGATCAGTTAGCTACTGTCGGTTGAGATTTATAAAGTATTGTTTAAAGATTTTTTTTTCATGAAATTAGATGTCCACTAACTGTTATAGCTCTTTCTAATATTAATTCCTAGAATGAATTCATTTAAAATACATTCATACATTCTTTCTTCTTTTTATGTGCCGTGTCCTTTCATGGCTCTCCACCTCCCTCTATCGCTTACAGCTCTCAACAAGTTCCTTCCCTCTGCTTCCTCCCCCAGACCACCTTCTGTCATTCACATGCTTAAGCCCACCAGGTTTGTCACGCGGTGTTTCCTTCTGTCTCGCTTTCCCTCTATTCGACTCGTGAGTATCAGCTTCTCTAGGCCCTTCTTCCTTATTATGAGTCCCTGGAAATTCAGCTGCCTCTTTCTGGTGTTAAGTATAAAACTCCTCTTTGTAAAATGCATTACTGAGGTATTGGCAATGGCTAAATTAGCTGTCTCAGTATGGAACTCATTTGATATTATATGAGCGAATATGAAATTTATAAAATATCAAAAAGATTTTCAGAAAATTAGATTTCTCAAGTCTACTAATTGTTACCGCTCTTTCTAATATTGTTGGGCGTTTCCTTCCTAACTTTTTGTTGGATGTAGTGTAGAAAGGCAATATCATGATTATATGTTTATTTTCAATCTTAGATAATGGTCTAGCCATAGTTGTTGCTGTTTCTATTAGAAGTGGTGCGTTTCTTTTTTTGTTATTTGCTAAGGTTCTTTATCATTTTGTAACGCTAATCTATATGATTTTATGAAGTATTGTCTTCTTTAAAGTAGAACACACTGGACACTCTCGCCAGTCTGACAAAAGGACAACCGTGGAGCAGGCAACGAGAACCCCAACAACGAGATTTCCTAAGATGCATTTCCTAGATTTTCAGACGATACAAGGCTCAAGAGTCACTCAATGTAGCGGGTTCCTATTGTAGCATACCTACGGACGATAAGAGTATGTCCCCATTCACATAAATACAGTAGTAAATACTCTATGTGGGCCTGCTGTTGGAGATTCGTCAAACTCCCTGTCTCCGATCAGAGAGGATCCCCAGACAAAGCTATGTCGAAGGACAGACTCTCGTCTCTGGAAACAGCTACCCGACCCTGTTTTATACGGGGTCTACGGAGAATTTTTGGTCGATCCCGATGATCAGATGCAAGCGGGTGCCAACGACGACTAATAAATGGCATGTTTAAAAAATCTTTTCATTTTAAGCATATCTCCACACCATAGCTTTTCAGTTAATTTTCTACCTGGATTTTATCAAATATTCTGATATATCGTGATTTTCCAGGCTTAGCTTAGATGTGGTACAAGGCCAAACATAGGGGGCACCCAGTAAGGATCGAACTCACTACGTAATGGTTCTAGCGAGACAAGCTTGCTAAGCGTTATACCTCCTCGAGGTGTCCAAATTATTTTGACAGATAATAGGTAATTTAATTCATGTTTTAAATTAACCACATTGATATCAGTGTGTTAAAACGGTTAAGTTTTTAGGACTCATCTGTCGGGTTGCTTTTGTAACATTTTCTGCTTACAGGATATTTACAGCAAAATCGTCACGCATAATCGTTTCTCAAGTTACACATATTGTATCAGTGCGTGTGTGTCTGTGAAGGCTGAATACTGATTGGTTGAAAAAGAGATCTACTATATGTCATCATTTGTCTACAGGTCTCTAATTGGTTAATAATTACGTCGAAGAAGTCACTTGAACAAAAACGCATTGGCGGGGAAACTTGTCCAGAAGGCGCGATGTTATTTCGGATGTCTCCGGTAACCTTAACAAGACGTGTTGACCTTCAGATTTTATTAGCATTTCAAAAGAGGACAGACATGCGAATGGCTTCCTAACATTTCACAGAAAAAAGGTGAGATATTTCCAAAGATGAGTGACGTAACTCATTGAGTAAACATGTAAAATACATAGAGTAATACGATCCGGCCAACGAATTATAGATATCAAGCAGATTCAAATAAAGAATTTTAAATATCTAGAAAATGTTTTAACCCTAGAACACTAACCATCAATTAAAGTTACACCTCTACTAACCATGGGTATATCATACCCGATTTTGAAAATATCAACAAAAAAAAAAAAAATATATAAATCTTTATTTGAAATATTTTACACGCAGGCACTTCAAACTTTGTACTTTGAGTTAACATTAATAGGAACTGAAAAACATTATTTAGGTAAAAAAAAAACAGGTACTTAAAATTGTTATTAAAAATAGGAAAATTTAGGCCGGCTACTATATACCCAATGGTTAGTGTTCTAGGGTTTTAAACACAGAATGGAAAAAGGGGGTAACGGAAATCTGAAATCACACAGGAAAACTAAGAGTTGGTTTCCCAAAGAAGAAAGAAATAAAAATGTCTGAAATGTTTGTGACATCTATCATTCTATATGGCAGTGAGTGCTGGCCAAATTCCTTACAGATGAAGACGAGACTTCAGGGAATAAAAGTTGTCTTACTAGCGTCTAATATTGTCGGATACCATCTTAATAACATAACATACGCGGATGACACCGTGTTAATGGCAGATTGGGAAAAGAAGCTACAGGAATTCCTCTACAAACTTATAAAGTAAAACAAGAAAAAAAAACTATCCATCAATTGAAAGATGACAATGTCCTTTTTCATTCTATTTTCTTAAAGACCTCCGTTTACGGCCATATCACGTTGAAACACCGGGTCACGTACGATCACCCAAGTTAAGCAACATTGAACCTTGTGAGTACCAAGATAGGTAACTGCTTGGGATTATAAGGTGCTGTAAGCTTGGGTGCGCAGATGGTGTAATTGATAACGGCTCCGAATTCGAAGTCGGATAGCCAAGTTTCAGTTTGAGTCGGGTTCATTATATTCGCAAATAACATTGGCAAAATTTTCTCTCCCCAGCTATGGGTTAATTAGTAGGACTTTTATGAGTAAATCGTGATTATCTCCCAAAAAACGTCTTATAATCTAAAAATAGTTTATGGCTTTAAATATCATGCTAAAGGTTGATAAACCGTAAAAAAAATTACTCCTTTAAAACAACTGTGGTGAAGGCACATTCGCATATACTGTTTAACTAGGCATGTTTTCTTTTCTAAATCTCCCAAGTATTATGTTTGTGAATCAGCAAAATTCAACAGATTTTAATTTAAACTCTGTGCCCAAATGTTGTTGGATTTTATGGAATTGTTCACATTTTCCGTTTTGCTTTTTCTTCTTCTTTTATATACCTTGTCCGTTCAGGACGTAGGCGATCATGGTCCTCCATGTTGCACACCACCTCTTCTGGTGGAGGTGTCTTGGTTGACGGGGTCGATTCCATAACGAAGCTGCATTCTTCTCTCCCGGCCGTCTTCCCCTGGTCGGATCATCGCCAGCTATTTTTCGGAAATCAAATGCGACATCAACAAGGAGAATTTTGAGCTTATCTATTTTATTAAACCCGTCGAGGTATAAATTTGTTAACTAGCCAGTGGGGTTGCTATCCCACTCCACTGGGGAGCAGATTCCGGACACGAAATTAACACGTCGACATTCTTCGACGCGTAAAACTTAACTCACTGAAAACACTTTGTAACACTAAGATTCCCAGCCAAACAAAAACAGCTTCCTTTGTTTTGTCTACCATCTGACCTTAAAGATCCACCTCAAAAGGTCTGAGCCAAATACACTGCCACTAAAAAAATTAATAGTTTGAAACTATTATTTAACATTACTTACCTAACAATAAAAAAAATCATTTATGAATTTTATTTTGGCTAAATTATATTTAACACTCCACACCCTCCTGTAACTTGTAGCTCTTAATATGTTTTGTATTTTTGTTGTTTCTCCCAAACCCTGTTCTGTTGACCATTTACTCACACCCATCAAGTATGTTACGCGCTTATTTCGTCTCTCCCTCTTTCCTTTAATCTTTTTGAATATCAAAAGCCCCCATCCCTTATTATACGCCTCAGAAAATTCAGCTGCTTTTACCTGATGTTAAATATATATTTCCTTTTTGTTTCTGTTCTCTCTAAAACCTCATTGTTTCTCACATATTCGGTCTTGGTATCCTCAGCATCTTTCTGTAAAACCACATTAGTGGTTCTCGTGAATAAAATCTCGAAACAACGAAAATGAGAATTCTAGTCCAGATAATCGATTATTTTGTCTTTCATTTGTTTTACTTCAACGCAAGTCATTCATTACCAATAATCAAAGCAATTTTCACCTGTTACAAAATGGCGCTAGAAATGTGTAGATGTCTCCTGGGAAGACGAAAATGTCGGTAGCGGCACGTTTTACACTGCGCACTTTTGTGCATTGGAAGACTAAATGCCATAGCCTTGTAATCCCATAAGAAGGAATTCCATATAATTCTGATGAAGATCTTGGTAGTAATTTAATTCTGGACTAATTGAAAGATTTCTTTTTGCAGTATCGAGTCTTACGTAGCCTCGGTGTTTTTCTCGGCTTTCAAGAAATATCTCTTCTTTTTTCTTAGACACACGTCAGACGCAGCGTGAAAGGTGACACTCGTCTGGAGTTTAGAAAAACGAAATGAATGGAGATTCATTTGAAAGAGAGAGAGCCACAGAGTAAAGAAGAGACAGAGAAAAATTAAGTTGTAAAAGACAAAAGATGGAAGGAGAGAAAGCTTACAAGTATGAAAGTAAAAATAAAAAAAATATAGGAAAATGAGAAAAGGCATAGCATAATATAGAATGAGAAATAGGAATGCAAAAAAGAAGAAAAGATGGAAAAATAATGAAGGAAAGTAGAAAATGAATGAAAAAACGTTGGAATTTGTCAGTCACTCAGTTATGTGTCATGCGTGATACACGCTCAGGCGAACATTTCAATACATGACTGACGAGGCAGATTTTTTTCCGTAGGTTTCCATTGCTTTCTGTGGTATACCAGTATCCAAGGCTATAGAAGCCGGTCTGTTCTGCTATTTACCCATAGCTGGTGGGTGGAGAAGAAGCGGATTCATACCTTTCTCAACGTTATTAGCACGCAAGTGAATATAATGGAATTCGAACTCGGCTCTCCGATTCCTCAATCCGAGGAATCGGATATCCATTACTCCACCGCGAAGAAAAGACGAAATAAAAATGAAACGGAAGCGTAGGAAATGTAAATGAGAAAGAACAGAAAGAAAAAAGAAGAAGAAAGAAGAAAAGAAGAAGAAGAAGAAGAAGAGGATATGGAATAAAAGAAAAAGAGGAAAGTATGAAAAACAACAAAAGAAAATAAGAAGAAAAGTAGAAACAAAACAAGAAGAAATAGACAATAAGGAACAGAAGAAAAAGCAAGATCACAAGAAAGAAGAAGAAGAAGAAGAAGAGATAATGAAAGAAAGAAAAAAAAGAAGGGGAAAAGGAATAAGAGAGAAGCCGTTGAATGAATATGAGTTAGAAAACGAAGGAAAAGAAGAATAAAAAGTAGGAGAAACAAAAAGAAGTGAATATATATAAAAGATAGCAAAAGAAAGAAGTAAGAAAAGAAGAAAACGAAAAGAAACAAAAATCTAAATAACGGTCAGAAGAAAACGAAAGAAAATAAGACGGAAAAATAGAAAAAAAACAGAAACAAGAAATGAAAGCGAAAAAAAGAAAATGGATGATTTTAATAAAATATACATGACAGAGGAAAAATATAAGAAAGAAAAGCAGAAGGAAAAGTAGAAAGAAAATAAAAAAAAATGAAGAAAAAATAAGAAAGGACAAAAAGAAAAGAAAAGTAAAGAAAAGAAAGAAAGAAAGAAATGGAAAAAAATAAGAAAATAAATAGAAGGTAAAAGAGAAGAAGATCAAATTAAAAAGGGAATGGAATAGAGGGAAAGAGGAAGAGTCTGAAGAGAAAAAGAAGGAAGGAAATAGAAGAGGAGAGGAAAGAAAATAAGCAGAAGAAGAGAAGAAGTAGAATAAAATAATAGTAAAGAGAATTTAGAATTCTTATGTGAAGAATACGTGGAAAAAATTGACAAGGAAGAAAAGAAAGTAGCGATAACATCGAAAATAAAAGTGAATATGAATTCATTTTTTTATTCAATAACCGCGACTTTTTGTCATTTTTCGTTTGACCTTTTGTCATTTGGAATCGTAGATAAACATTCATTCGTTCTGATCTGAGGACCTCTTTCCAAACCTTTTTTTCATCTGTATTCCATGCTAGTCTTCCAAAGTGCAGAAAAGAATTCTTTTTCTTTTTTCCCGAGTAAGCCGTCGCTATCCACAACACGCTAAAAAGGTCAGTGGATTCACTTATTTTCCGTTCGCGGCTTGCCTCGTTCTTTGATTGAAATAACACGTCAATCGAAGACAGGTCAATGGAAGGGCTTTTTGTATTGATCTGCTTTTCTAAACTTGTTGATTACCGTTCTCCAGTTTCGTCACGACGCGACTTGGGTCGGTTGAATAACAAGAAGCGCATGACAGCTTTATTCTAATTTCTACCGTAGGAATCATTAAAACACTTCTAACTTTTAACACATTTTGTTTTATGAGGGAAGTCACCTTTCATTGCTGATTTGAATGGTAGGATACATTAAAACACTCCTAACTTATAACACATTTTGTTTTATAAGAGAAGTCAACTTTCATGAGTGATTTGAAACGTAGGATGTATTAAAACATTCCTAACTTATAACTCTGTTTTATGAGGGAAGCCACCTTTCAATTGTGATTTGAAACGTAGGATACATTAAAACACTTCTAACTTATAACACATTTTGTTTTATGACGGAAGTCACTTTTCATTGCTGACTTAAAACGTAGGATGCATTGAAACATTCCTAACTTATAACACATTTTGTTTTATAAGAGAAACCACCTTTCATTAGTGATTTGAAACGTAGGATACATTAAAACATTCCTAATTTATAACCAATTTTGGTTTATGATGCAAGCCACCTTTCATTGGTGATTTGTACCGTAGAAACAGCAAAACATTTCTAACTTTTTAACACATTTTGTTTTATGGTGCAAGCCACCATTCATTACTAATTTCTACCGTAGGAATCATTAAAACATTTCTAACTTTTAACACATTTTGTTTTATGAGGGAAGTCAGATTTCATTGCTGATTTAAAACGTAGGATGTATTAAAACACTCCTAACTTAGAACACATTTTGTTTTATGATGCAAACCACCTTTCATTGGTGATTTGTACCGTAGAAACATTAAAACACTTCTAACATTTTAAAACATTTTGTTTTATGATGCAATTCTACCGTAGGATGCATTAAAACACTGCTAAATTCCAACCCATTCTGTTTTATGATGCAAGTAACCTTTAATTGCTAATTTGTACCGAACAAAACATTAAAACCCAACTTTTAACACATTATGTATTATGATGCAAGTCACCCGTCATTGTTGATTTGTACACCGCGTGCATTAAAATACTTCGAAATTTAAACATTTTTGTTTTATGATGCAAGCCGACTTTCATTGCTAATTTGTATTGTAGAAAGCATTGAAGCATTGAAGCACTTTCTGCTTATAACACATTTTGTTGTTTGATGCATGTCACCTTTCATTGCTAATTAGTACCGTAGAAAGCATTACAATACTTCCAGTGTTTTAACACATTTTGTTTTATGATGCAAATCACCTTTCATCGTTAAATAAGCATTAAAATAATTCCAGGTTTTAACACAATTTGTTTTATGATGAAGTCATCTTTCATTGCTAATTTAACCTGTAGGAAGAATTAAAACACTTGCAGGTTTTAACGCAATGTGTTTTATGACGCAATTCACCTTTCATTGCTAATTTGTACTGTAGTAACCATTAATTCACTTCTAAATTTTAACATATATTGTTTCATGATGCAAGTCTCCTTTCATTGCTAATCTGTACCGTAGGAAGCATTAAAACACTTCTAACTTTTAACACATTTTGTTTTATGATGCTAAGCACCTCTCAGTATTATAATGTCATGAGAAGTCTCATCAACTAAAATTCAAGCCTGTCGGGGAGAAAATGCCAACAAGTATAAAAGTAAAAATGAAAAATATAGGAAAATGAGAAAATGCCTGCCATAATATAAAAGGAGAAATAGGAATGAAAAAAAAGATGGAACAATTAACGAAGGAAAGTAGAAAATGAATGAAAATAACAGAAAAAAAAACATTAAAGACGAAAATTCAAGCGTGTGAAATTGTCAAATTTTTTGTCAAAAAAAAAAAAGATTTTTTTCCAGAAAAATATTAGTATAGTGTAAATAAAAAGCACGACTTCCATATTATGCTTCATTTATTTAATACCGATATTTACCTTTTATTATTTGTATTTTAATGTTATATTTATTCTGTGTGTGTCGCTGAACAATAAATGTAACGACTCGGATATTTCGTCTTGTAATTTTTATATTTATTCTGTGAGTGTAGTGGAAATTATGAGGATAAGTCAAACATTATCCGTACTTTCGTCGTTACATTTGGCACATAGACTTCTGCGCATGCGTGCTTATAGTTGGTATTATTATGTTCACGTGTCCGAAGATTGAGATTGATCGCGCCACTTTCCTTGCTGCTGCTACAGCGCAAACATGGCCGCTCCGCTAGCAGTGCGCAACCAAGGAGAAACAAAGAGCAATAATCGGAATCTGCAACACATCGGTTCGCCAAACCACATCTCTGGAGTTTGTTGAAATGTTACCATCCGTGGTGGAGGTTGACGGGGATCCTGTTCCATCATCGCTCGTCACGCTTGTCCAGTCACTTTTAAAATTCTCAATCCACTTATACGCGCTTCTACGCCATAATCCACCATTGCCGTTTTGTGTCAGCTTCCGCGCAATTTCAACCGCTGACAAACCATCCTTGTTAGCTCAGAGAGCAGCCATGCTTACACCGTAACAGCAGTAAGGAAACTGGCTTCATAAAGCTCAAATTTTGATCACGTGACTCCAACAATACCAACTATAAGCACGCATGAGCAGAATGTAGTGAGATAAACGTAAAACTATGTTCTGGTGAATTTGCGGATAGTTTTTGACATACCATCGTAAAAGTCAAGACTTGGATATTCCATCTTTTAATTTTTGTACCTGGTGTAACAGCAAAATAGTCCAATTGTTAGATTAAGATTTGAAACGTTGTATCTTGGAAATGATTAAAGATATCTTACTGGAATTCACCGACGTTTTTATAACACTATTGGACACTACTTTGAGCAATAAGAATATATAATTATTCTCCAAACTTAACAGAAGAAGCGTGATGAATTCGATCATAAACGAAAATAACATGCTCATCATTAATTAATCATAGCTTAGGATTGGGAGCTCATGTAGGATTGATATAAAGTCCATATATATATATATATATATATATATATATATATATATATATATATATATATATATCCAGGATCATTTTCCAACTGATTATAGATGATCTTCGTCCTCTACAAATTTAACGTTCTGTCCTGGAGTAACAAGGTGCCTCAGAGGTCTCACATAAAATTTCATTTTCAAGTCTTTGGACTGTCATAGCTGAAACTCCTTTCTCACGTGCCAAACGTCTAAAGGACTGAGTTGGATCTTTTCTAACGGATCTCCTAAGCTCTAAGTTGAAATGATAATCTGTCTTGTTTTTGTGACCACCTGATCCAGTTTTCTTCTCTACTGTTTTTTTTAACTTGATGGGCCACCCTACCTAGTGGCACTTGAAAGCACTGAAAGTTTTAATTTATTTATTTGCTTCACTTCCTTTATTCCTACATGCGATTAAGCAGGTGGCTTTGAATTCCCCGTGTCTCACTCCTGTTTTAAAACCAGATCCAGACAAAATCATTTAGGGCCCACTTGACTTTGTCAGTGTCTCAAGAGGAACCCAGCTACTTCATTGTCTTAAGAGAGATTTGTTTATTTTATTTTATTTTATTTTTTTTTTTTATAATTATTTTTATTTTATTTTATTTATTTATTTATTTTTTTTATAATCTTAGTACTCCCATGTATAGCATTTCTAAGAATAAAATTCATTCTACTCGTATGATGAGACCACGAACTCTGATTTGAGGTTTGATAATGATATTTCTTACACAGGAGAAAATTAAAAAGAAAAAAACCCAAAAAAGGGTTACTAATAACGATAAAAAGAAAAGAATAAAAAAAATATGGGGTGTGGAATCAAATGACATGAAGATTAAATGTAAAAGGAGCAGGGGAATGTAACGCACACCCTACCCAGTGAGCTGGAGCGAATGAATAGCGGAGAAAGGTTTTACTTAAGAGCTACAAAGTACAGGAAATTGTGGAGAGACATGATCGTCAATGTTCTGAAAAGGCACAGCGCATAGAAGAAGAAGAAGAAGAAGAAGAAGAAGCTAAAATTTAGTGGTTCGTATCATATGCGAAAAGCTAATATTAATTTTTCTTTCCAGTTACGCCATATTTGGACGGTATGGAGAAAAATTATATTCATGTCTTAAAATAGTATGCAACTTCTTAAATGTGCTCTATCGCTTAATGACATACGTGATAATGGGTCTCCACAACGTTCTATCCTATATTTGTCTTTTTTCTATCCCTTCCAATCCCTTTTTTGCCATCCATTTACGCAAGTTCGTTAGATAGATTACAAAATACTTTCCACTTTACTCTCTCATATTCAATATGCCACGTGAGTGTCAAATTTACCAAGCCCTCTTTTCTCATTATGTGTCCCATCATTAAAAATCCCATCAGAATAATGCAAGTTGCATTGTATTTGTGCATTGAATATAGGATTTCTACAAATAAAAAAAAAAAAATCTACACGGATGATGGGACCACAAACTCTAATTTGGGGTTAGATGATAATTTTTCTTACACTGGAGAATATTAAAAAGAGATAAATAAAAAGGGCTTATTAGTAACCCTTTTTATTTATCTCTTTTTAATTCACCGTTCATTTCTGGTTTCTACCGTAGGATGCATTAAAACACTGCTAAAATTTAACCCATTTTGTTTTATGATGTAAGTAACCTTTAATTGCTAATTTGTACCGAACAAAACATTA